CCTAAAGGAATTATCTGATTCGTCCATATTCAACCAGAAATTTTTTTCAGTGCAGTCGTGCCGATTGCATACGCGGATTCTTCGCTCTAAAAAATAGTGGTGTGACCTTTCACCCACGCTAGTTAAATAATTCGGTGTGAATATCAACATCGAAAGTGTAGAAAATCTCTCATACCAACAAACGCGGTGTCATGATGCTATATCGTTTCGTTTTCGCGACATGCGATGTGATCGCCGTGACGACGCCACACGTAACTATAATAGAACAATCAATCGCTACAGCGTTTAGGATATCGTGTGTGCATGTACAGGTTGTTGATCGTTCACGTTGACAGTGTGAATTTTCCACACTAACCAGGCAATGTTAATTTCACACCGATAAGGGGAGAATTATATAAACACCTGTACGGGTGTCAATTCCGCACCAGTGGTGAGAATTCACATCCATATATTTCTTAGAGTGTCGGGCTCTTCGAGAGTCGGGGGCGATTTTTTCCCCGGCGCAATCGCGTACGATCCGTGCGCCAAGGGCGGCTACGGGCGGAGCACCCTGAAGCACCCTGCACGTGGCACGCATGCCTGGGAAATCCAAGACGCGAATCCGCGTCGAAAGTGCATCGATTCGAGGTAGCGCGCGAGGCTACCGAAGGAGCCTTTCAGCAGAATGAAGTGCATTATGGCGCGTTGCATTGTTAAACCCCCCCGAGGGTGTAATAGCGAACACGCGAGCTTTTCCGGCATGCCCGACGAGCGAGAGTAACGTGAAATCGCGACGGGGTCGACTCGGGGATGTCTGCGACCCTCGGGATCTTTTTCGTCGCCTGAAGAAAATTGTAGAGAAAATTTTCATGGAACTGTTAACTTTTCCAAACCCTTTTGCCAAGTGCGAGTTATCGCGATCGACAGGTTGGCCGCACCGCACGATTTTTGTGACTCGTATCGTCCTTGAAAATATCCTCTTTTCTCCTCTCAATACAATTTCTTCTGCAAACTAACTAAAAATCATAGAAAAGTAGCTCAAAATAGATAGATTCTAGCCGCTCAATGATGCATCATGAAATCTAAGTAGATCTACTCTGTCGGCAAAGTGATGATTACACGGAGAGAAGTTTCTTTTAAAATAATCAAGCTTTTTTAGTCGACATTAACCGGCTAATGTTTTAATACAGAAAATTTATCGCGAAGAATATTACCGCAGCCAGGGTTTGAACCTTAATTATATTTTACTAAACTAAACATTAGTTGTGGCATATAATGTTTATCTCACTGAAATTTTTCTTATGGGGATTTGCGAAAAGCAAGGGTACGAAACACGTTCGGCAGCCATCTTGGAGCTGAAGCAGCGCACGGCCATAGAAGAGATCCCACAGAACATATTCTACGGCGAGTAATGCATTCTCTTCCTACCAGAACGGAAAATCGAGGTGGACATCTCACGGACATAAAATTTTTCAAAAGTGAACCATGCCATCTGAAACTCCGTGCAATTGTGTATCTTTCAACATGACTAGAATGTACCTTTGACCAAGCACACAGTCTTCAGATTATTCCCAAAACTGTCAGGTATTTTGTGCTCCACCCTGTATATGATTGCCTACACTGAAAAAAATTTCTGGTTGAATATGGACGAATCAGATAATTCCTTTAGGATTTACCAGAATTCCTTTAGGATTTACCAGAATTTCTGTAGGATTACAGGAATTCTGGTAAATCCTAAAGGAATTATCTGATTCGTCCATATTCAACCAGAAATTTTTTTCAGTGTAAGAATAAAATTCATATCTGCTGAAATCTGAGTTGGATACACTCAGATATGATTAGATATGTAATACAATTTTTCCCGGGGAGTTACTTGTTAACCCTGACAATTCTCAAATAGAGAGCTCGAAATTGTATATGAGGGTGTCGATATCGACGATTTCGTGGGGTCGATATACGCGACCGCCCATCCGGAAATCCTGCTGTGTCCTCTCATCAAGATGGACGCGTAATCCGTGAATGACGCGGCATTACGGATAACGTCGTGGCAAGTAGAGAGCCAATTTCCGCTGAAGAAAAATGACGCGATACGGCGAGCCTCCGCGACTCGGCCAGTCAGCCAGCAAGGTCGTTTGGGCGCGAGCCAATCGGACTGGCTTCTTTGTAGCCGAGCCTTTCTCGATTTATGGCATGACGTCGTACATCGTCCGATCCACGTGCCGAGCCAAATCATGGTCTTCCGAGAGGTGTTTGTTCACTTGAAAAGTGACGTACGCGCGAATGTTTACGGCGGCGAGGGGACGTCTTATCGGGCGAAATAAACGCGCGGTAAATATGCGCGTTTAATTTATAATACGCACTCTAGACGCTTGTTTATTGTTTTTCAGAAGCGCGCAACCGCGCAATTACTATTTCAGTGCGCAACCCGTTCTCTCAGGAGTTTTGGCGGAGCTGACGTTTGTCAACCCGTTCCCTTATTTTCCCGCAGGGAAGATTGATCCGCGCAATCTTTTGGGCTTAACGGACCTTACGGACACGAGTTCATTACTGCGTACACTCACGCACAATTACACATCGGACTGTACAATAACATATTATTGAAAAAAACGATATTAGTGTAATTGAAAAACAAAATGGTTGAAACAACGTCAGTATCAATGAATGAAACGCATCAGATAGTTGTCTTAATAATCTGGATATTTAGTTCAATGCTTAAAATTAAAATCCATAGCAAACACCATTGAATTATTTATGTTTGTGGCAGCCCGTGGCATCGACGTTTAATTCAAGCAACTTCATTTTCTTGTAATTTAACAGCATTTTTTTCTGTGTACGATATTAAATGTTGGCAGTAAAAGTGTAAAAAAAATTTCGGAACAATCTTTCATTCAAATGATTTTTTTGCAAATGAAGACAGAGGCGTGAATTTAATCGTAACACTTTAGAAGCGAAGCTTCGATTCTTTATGTTTTGCTAGTACGACGCTCACGTGTTTTGGCAGTAGTATCGCTATTGATGCTATTGATACGATCTGAAATGAATCATCGGACGGGAAAACAACAGCGATAGAGTCAATAGGTACGCAAACCGATGCGCAAATAATCTGTAATAGTACGATATAAACTTGATTGCGTTATCACTTGGCCTGGTATTTCGGCATCGAATTTAATAAATCTAATATATTATCAACTAATAAGAATATTCTTCGATGCCGCCAGCAGTAATTAACAACGTCGGTGTTTCCTTGACCATATCTGGCACTTTTTAATAATACAGAAAATTTACTGCAAAAAATATTACCTCAGCCAGCCCGAATCTCTTGCCTCGGTGGTCGAATTGGCAATTTAAAATATGCAATATTTAGAAACTAACACCCTGTCAACGGCTCTTAGTCCTTTATACCTTTAAATTTGTGTTTATCACACACTTGAGCCACACGCGAATTTTCATTAACGTGTTAGAATCTATATTATTTCTTCAATGTCTTATTCAGTAAAATTACGCCTAACCGGGAAAGCTGACAAGGCTTTTGCGGAAATTTACGCCCCACACAGCAAAACAAGTTTCAGAAAGCTTTCCGAAAGATAACTTGGAAATTAATATTGAAATGTAAAATTGAAATCATTCAGAAATATCTTTGAAACGTTTCATCAAAATCACATGTCATTGAAAGCTTTCTAAAGATTACCTTGGAAATTAATATTGAAATGTAACATTGAAATCATTCAGAAGTATTTCTGAAACGTTTTATCGAAATCATTTATGATCCTTCTCACTGAAATATTTCAGAAATATTACAAAACATTTCAGAGAAATATTTCGTACGTAATCTCTAAAACATATGTTATTGAAAGCTATCCAACATATAACTTGGAAATTAATAGTGAAATGTAAGATAGAAATCATTTAGAATTATTTCTGTTTCATCGAAATCATTTATGATCCTTCTCACTGAAATATTTCAGAAATATTACGAAATATTTCTCTGAAATGTTTCTATTTTTCTATTTCTATAAATGTACTTTCTATTTCTCAGAAATATTACGAAACATTTCAGAGAAACATTTCGTACGTAATCTCTAAAACTATATTATTGAGAACTATCCAACATATAACTTGGAAATTAATATTGAAATGCAATATAGAAATCATTCGGAAATATTTCTGAAGCATTTAAGAGATACTTCCGAAGCATTTAAGAGATATATCTGAAGCATTTCAGAAATATTTCCGACACATTTCAGAAATATTTTCGACGCATTTCAGAAATATTTCCGAAGCATTTAAGAGATATTTCTGAAGCATTTCAGAAATATTTCAGAAACATTTATGATATCTCATCTACGCGGACATTTCATGTATCTGAAACATGTCTGAAATATTTTTTTGAAAGGTTTCATATTTCATTGACAGCTTTTTGAGAGCTTTCTGAAATATTTCGGTGCTGTGTGGGGCGTCACCAACATGTCGAATGTCTCGGTCCAAAATTGGGAGCCTCTTCGACGAAAGGAGAAAAACAGAGTCAAAGTGCCAGAGTTTAAGATCGCAATGTAAAGTCGCGACGCGAAATTGTTTGCGAGCCGCGGACGAAGCTGGCAAAGGCGCGCACGTGACGGCGGGTGCACGTGCCTCGATGTTTACATCTCGGTCATCTTGCGTGAGATAAGCGCGTGCCGCGGGATAACTCTTATTGTTAGATATCGGATTGGCGGGGCGAACGGGGGACCGGACGTAAACAAACGTGGTCGTATCGTGATGAGATCGCCTCTTGACTCAGTTACCGAGGAATCCGTCGTTTCGCCTTCCCCGGCCCTTCCTTCCTCCACACTTGCGATGTCGTTGCACCGCGAGGTACCAGATGCGCCGCGCGACCACCTCTGGTTGGTCCCGCCGGTGTCGTACGATCTTATTTACGAGGCGACCTGGGCCAAGACTCGCCGAGGCCGTCACGTGTCGCTCTCGTATAAGAGTTGAAACGGCGCCGAGCCGCGTTTAGTATCAACGAAGATTCGAGACGCTACGGTCATTACGATTATATTTCTTCTCTCTCTTCCTCTGTCGTGGATTAGATTGAATCGGATTTTTTTCTTAATCGCGTGATCGACAGTCTCGGCATTCGAAACATCAATTTCGATCCTCTGCCGTAAGGTCTCGCAGAGAGGAAGGTTGATTTGATTTGTATCTCTCGTGTGGGGCGTTTGACTGAGGCATCTCTGAGGAAGAGGAGATAGAGAGTGGGTCGATATATTGAGCTACGTTCCTCACGATGTCTTTTAATAGACACGCCACGCAGTGCCGAAAGTGCATTCTGTTAACTAGGTGAGTGAAGATCGCGCTTCGATTCGCGTTAAAAAATAGAACGTGGATTTACAGGTGCGTTCGTAGAAGAAAAAAATTAGGAACAAGTGTGCGATCCTTTTCACCTAAAGATTAATTTCGTTGAGACTATTCTGGGGCGACTACGAAACTCTGCGATTAGATCACCGATGCCTGAACTATTTTTCTTCTAGTGCGAAAAATGTTAACTTTTATTTGACACGTGGGAGAAAAATTCGAATGAGCACCGCGAATTATATAGCGCGAAATTTTGCTGCAAACAAGTCCGGTCGATCTATCCATTTCAATCGATGCGGATTAAATCACGACCGTCCGATCGACGAGTTTGTCGCATTTTGGCGAGAAAACGCCAACGCGCTAGGACTAGATCAAGATTTCAATCTGAGACTTTCTGCTAGTCGACCGACTGCTCTTCCCCAGATAGCACAAAGGTGAACGTAAGATCTCAATTTCAATCCGCAGTCTGACACGGGCTTAACTGTGGTACACGTAACTTCCCCAATCATTCTCGTTGCATTCTTCTATGAATTCCCGAAGACTTAGGGCCTGAGCAGAACGGCTGTCTTATTCTCTCAAGACAATGTTTTGTGTTTTAAATCTTTGTCCTAAAGTAACGCACAAAAACTGCCTTGTGTCTTAAGAATACAAGACAGCCATTCTGCTCGGGCCCTTACAATTCAGAAAGGCAAAGAAACTTGAACAACACTTTGCCAATTCACTGTGCTATCTGGGTCCTATCTCGAGCCAGGCACTCGATACTCCCCTCGCTCGCTTAGGGCCTGGAGCAGAATGGCTGTCTTAGTCCCAGTCTACAATAGATGATTTAAGCCCTAAGCTTTAAGAAATTGGCCAATCACGGTCAAGTATGAGTAGAATGCGCGACTGTGATTAGTCAATTTCTTAAGGCTTAGGGCTTAAATCTCTATTGTAGACTGGGACTTATACTCTTAAAGACAGCCTTAAGACAATGTTTTATGTTTTAAGCCTCTGTCTTGAGGTAACGCACAATAACTGTCTTATGTCTGAAGAGTATACTGTATGCCCAGTGAGAAATGATTCGTCGCTCGACGTCGAATCGACATCGACACCGTCGAATTGACGTCGATTCGACATCATTTCGACGTCGATCGACGAATCATTTCTCACTGGGTGGAGGCCGTTAAACATCGATGAAGTTAATCGAAGTCAGCCTGAACTATCGCTCGCGCGCGTCAGCTGCAATTGCGTCATTTCGCCTCGCGTTGAAACGCACTGCGGACTTAAATACTGCCGCTGAGTCACTTTACGCTACCCGGGTTGTGTCAGTAACGATCAGTAACGATCGGCGACGTCACCGCGGTATCGACGCGCGATAATTGAATTTTCAGTCTTCCTAAAAGAGAACGAAGGAAGCCGCGTGGACGACAGACGCGGGGGCGAGTGGTTTCTGTGTTTTCGCGCGGGCGTTTGGTTTTTCGTGAATTTCTTTTTGTCGACGCATCCAGGAGTCGTATTCCCGAAAGATGTCGATTTTATGTCGTCAACGTAATCAGAATATTGCGTTTAACATTTTACTCGTGCACGGTATCTCGCGAGAGTAAGGTCCCGAAAGTTCTATCGCGCGAAACACGCAAACGAAGCGAACCACGGGTCAGGCTAGGCTCGCGAGACAAGGACAGACTCGCGGGCTCGATTCGACGTCCCGCTCGCGCGATCAGCTGACTCCGACGGGTGCGGAGGGTCCCGTGGCGGCCGCGGCGCTCCGTTTTCCTTCCCCGATCGCCGCGGCGGATTCGCGGACTTCGGCGTCGTCCTCGGCGCTCGGCCTCGCGGGGGCTACGCGCGCGTGGTAATCGCGCCCAAGATGGAGGGAGACGAGGAACATGTGCGCTAACGCGAACGCTCGCGAGCAACGAAGAGGTTATACTCGACTTCTCTACTTCCGTGCGACCTCGACTGAACTTCATCGGCGACTCATTTTATTATACGATTAAGCGAACGGTAACGTGCACTACCACGTGGATAGAATTGTCGATGTTTGGCCGTTTGACACATGGAGCAAGAGAGAGAGAGAGAGAGAGTCATGGAACTATGTTGGTGTATACAAATGCTCTGCTTCTGATCGGCGAGTCTGCCGTTCGAGGATGCGTTCCATTTCACGCACGGTTGTACGTAATGCATCATTTATCCTTCTTTAACATTTGGTGAGTAACAAGGATAAATGACGCATCATGCGTGAAACGGAACGCACCTCGAGTCAGTCCCCTTGGATTATTTCTACGCGTTCGCGTGTTTGTAGATGCGGAGAGATGAGATCGGTGTGAATGCAATAATTGTACTTGTCGAAAACACAAGAGGAAAGAGAGAGTACGTGTGTGTGTGCCTTTTAATTGCAGACAACTCACGGATAGCGCGGCTGGCAAGGACACGGGTGGCAATGTAACGAGCGTCACGGACAGATTTCTGCGCGCAGTGAGCGACTTGAGAGCCAACATGTCCATGCAGAATCAGTGGAAGCTGCTGTCGCAGTTGAGGGATTACCTGAGCAAGGCGAACTACGACAAGAATCAGCATTTCGTCGTCACCAAGGAGTGGCTGGACAGCCTGCAGAAGCTGACCTTCTCGCAGCTCGAGACCATACGGAAGTTGTCGTCGTCGGGATCCACCGGGGCCGCCGACGCCGGCGGCAACTCGAGCGCGAAGCACAAAGACGGCGGTGACTTGGAGAGCGCGAAGCTGACGTTGCTGTCCGAGCAAGCGGAGTCGCTCACCGATCCCGATTTAAGAACCGTGCAGCCCAAGAGGCAACAGGTAATTGTTTTACAAGACAGTGATGCATTTATACCACATTCATAGCACTCTGGGCGACTACCCCTGGCACTCGGTCCCTTGTACAGTGCCAAAACTTCGTCCAACGACTTTCTCTTGTGCTGTTCGTTGTAAAAAGTCTGTCTCTTTGCGCAGCAACTTCACGAGCAGGGTATGCCCGAGTTGAAAGACGGCGCAACCGTGCTGCAAATTCTCTCCACGTTGCTGCCCAAGTTGTCTCCCAGGACCACGCAGGGCGCCGTCGCCGTGCCGAAGTGGAAGATAAATGTCCACGGCAATATTCCGAAGCACAGCGTCGTCTCCCGCACGCGTCACGTCTTGAACAGCATCGCGTCGGCCGAGTCGAACGCCTCGAAGCTGCGCCGGCTGGACGATCTGTTGCTGCACGTCGATCAGTATCCCGAGGCGAGGCACTACGCGATCAAAGAGGGTGCGATTAAAATCTTGCTGCGGACTCGCCAGGGGACCAAGGATGAGCAGATCAAAGGTGTCCGAGGAATTCTGTATGACGACACGTCGCTCTCCATTATCGACGACGATTACTTAGTGCAACGTGATTGTTGCAGCGTCCATCAGAGAGGCGCTGGCTCTGATGGGTTACATCGACCCTCTGCCAGGCCGCGGTATCAGAATCCTGTCCATCGACGGCGGCGGCATTCGCGGAGTGTTGGTTATAGAGATGCTGAAGAAGCTGGAGCAACTCACGGGGAAGAAGACGTACGAGATGTTCGATTACATATGCGGCGTGAGCACGGGAGCCATTCTCGCCGCTGTGTTAGGTAATTGCCTGGCGCAGGTGCCCAGAAATCTTCGTTGACTGGTCCGCGAATGATCGTAAGATAACATTAGGAAGAGAGTTGCACACTGATTTTTTCCGTTTGTAACACGTGTGCGTGTCCGAATTAATTTATGTATCGCCTATACGCAGTATTGCCGAAGGATGTCTTGGAAGGTAAACTCTTTATCTGCGTCTACAGCATGTTCCGCATGTGGTTTATTCCGTCGATAAAAGATACGTCTCGTCTGGTTGCCGTTTGTTGCGAGCTTTATCGTTTCGTTCGTTGCCGCAGGAGGACACAAGAGGAAGTCGTTGGACGAAGTTTTGGCATTGTACAAGGAACTGAGTACCAAGGTATTCACGCAGAGTGCTATTAAAGGCACGAGCAGCCTGGTGTGGAGCCACGCGTATTACGACACGGCGTTGTGGGAGAAATTGTTGGCCGAGCACTTGGGCGACAAAATTCTCATCAAGACCACGCGCGACCCGAATGCGCCGAAGGTGCGTAGACTCTAGCGTATATCGCCGAGCGGGATAAAATGTATAATGCATGGCTCGCGGGCGCGGTAATTTAAATGTAGAGAGGCGTTCAACCGAGTCCGCATTTTTAGTTTTCAGCCATATCCGCCGTGGTAAATCACGAGCGCGTTATGCCCTACGTGTTTAGAAATTACACGTTGCCGTACAGAGTGGAGAGCCAGTACATGGGGTCTCACAAGCACAAACTGTGGGAAGCCGTGAGAGCGTCGGCTGCCGCGCCGAGTTACTTCGAGGAATTTAAATACGGCGACTACCTTCATCAGGACGGCGGTAAGCTGCGCGCCGATTCCCGGCGTGAACCGGCGTTAAAATCGAGTAAGAGTTTTCGCAATTGAGATCGCGATTGGTGCTCCAGGTATTCTGGTGAATAATCCGTGTGCCGTGGCGATACACGAGGCCAAACAGCTGTGGCCGAATAATCCAATCCAGTGCGTCGTGTCGTTCGGAACCGGTCGAATCCCGCATCACAGCGAGACCGAGACTGAGGTGGCGATCTCGAGTTGGAGAGAGAAGTTTTTCAAAATTTTGGACAGTGCCACCGATACGGAAGGTAACGCTGATGTGACAAGAGCAATTTAACTAACTGCATTGCAGTTTTTTTTTGGAAACAGATTAAGGAAAGATTCGATTGGTTTTCGCGACGTTGATCTCGATTTTTCAGCTGTACATACGATGCTCAACGATCTGCTGCCCGATCACATTTACTTCAGATTTAATCCTTACTTGACGGAAATGATGTCGATGGTGGAAATCCGGCCCGAAAAGATCAGCCTGATGGAACAAGACGCGAGGATGTACGTACGTCGAAACGAGGAGAAGTTTCAAAAGGCTGCTACGGCTCTGCTGGAGAAACGGCAGATCCAGCAGAGAGTCGCGGATTGGATTGCGCTTCAAAAACAACTGTTCGGTTTATAAACAGCGCCGCTTCGAATATCAATGTGCATTCCATAACGCGATCGGCGTTTGTGAAAATCACACGAATATTTATAGTGCAATTTTTCGTACCTTCTACGCGCTGTGGCTACTAATCTAAAACTTTTCGAACGATATCTTCTCGATGATGCCTTTTGCAGTATAATAGAATAGTACAATAGTCGTATGTTTAAAAAAATGTGTTACTATGCTTTGCATCGTTTGCTCGTATTAGTATTTTTTTTGTAACTTATTAAACTTTTATTTAAAACTATTAGTTGTAATAAGATGACGTCTGTGTAAGCGAGGAAGTTACTTTAGATTACGTGGGATCATTATTAGTATAGCATTATGACTGTGATATACTTTGTAGTACAAGAACATGTTTAAGATTAATGGCAACTCTATGTTGTACACATTATTCTAAAGCAAAAGTGTAAAATCGTACATCTTCATATCATGTCAGGGCGGTATGCGTAATCCAATTTTATATTCAAGATCGTCTCAATTCTGATCATGAATAGTCTTAATATCAGACTCTTATGGCCGATTTTTTCACTTCCCGATAAAATTATCCGGAGGTTAATCTCAAGTTTTAGCCAATCATGTGCATGGATCTGGTAGTTGATCTCCTGGTTAACTTTAACCGCAACATAACTGGATGTGAAGAAATCGGGCATTAGTATATCAGACTATGGATTGAGAGTGAAGTTTACTGAATTTTACTCTGGTTGGTCAAATTTCAGTTTAATCTCAATCCGTAGTCTGACATGGGCTGATACTTTCTTCATCCAATCAACAAAATGATCGAGTCTCGATATCGAATTCTGAATATCGCCCGTAAAAATAACTTAATTGTGTATGTGTTAAGTGTTTCACATTTATTTTTTCTCACTGTAAATACGTGTGTGTATGTAAAATTTTCAATAAAAACATACCAACGGTGTAAAAAACTGAATAAACATTGAAAAGTTAAAGTAAGAATTTTTCTTTTACTCTAAGGATTAGTTTATCCCAGAAGCGCTGATGAAATATTTGGCGTTTTGAATACACATATTTGTAGATTTTCGAGTGATATTCTTCCTAAAATATTTCTCTCGACTCTTTCTACTTTTTTGCTTCCTTATAGAGAAAGCTTTGCTTTCGTGAAAACAATTTTTCTCGAGTTTTCTTTGCTGAAATGTTTAGAATGTTCCAAAACGTCTAAAAATGACATTTAACGTATCTATATTATTTTAACAAAATGTATGAACACTACAGTCTCATTCAAATCGCAAACGATAGAAAGGGCTGTTTGGCGCTGGCGTCGCTGCGCGGTTCGCGGTTCGCTCTCGTCACGGACCACGTTTTCTTCCCACTTCCGTTTCCGAGAGCCTGCGTACGCTTCTTCAAGGTTTTACAAAATTCTCAGTTAAAAATCCATTCAATCTGCTAAAGTCGAGACGCGGTTAAAGAATCGCGACTTCTTTTACCTATTGCTGTACAAAGTCCTTGTACTTTCTCGCGAATATTTATGTATATTGAGAGACGATAGTTTTCCTCGCCCACGATCCGCCTAACCTCAACGACCAACGCGCACGGCAGTGTTTTGAAATAATCGAATATTGTTTCAGGTAGGATTAAGTGAGTCCAGAAGATGGCCAAGTCCAAGAATCACACGAATCACAATCAGAGTAAGTGTACTTGGCGATAAATCATTATTAGGGAATCTAGACAGTCGCGTCTTGTGTATACACGTTTCGTATAATCTGAACGTGCTTATGAAATGGCATGGCAAGATATTCAATTTTATGTGTCAAACGTGGTAAGATACTTAAGGCGAAATTCTCTATTACGAGACACGGTAGTGTCTCGCGTCAAGTATAAACGTAGTTTGTTAAGTGAAACTACGTTATCGCTGCTAAACTGTTGATCTCTCCGTTTTCTCTTTTAGACAGGAAGGCGCATCGAAATGGCATTAAAAAGCCCAAGAGGTACAGGCACGAGAGCACACTCGGCGTAAGTTCTGTCGACGTATCTTCCCTGCGCGTTTATTCGCTTCAGTACTTGATTTCCTGCGATTTCTTTAACGCACGTGGCGAGAGAAAGAGACGTGCTTAACGTTTCGCGGGACGAGACCGCTGTTCGGTGAAAGTATACATTTCAAAAGAAGTTAAAACGCGTCTTCGGCGTTGAAGATAATCTAACGAATAATAAACTTTCAAGTAAGAACCCCATCTAAAACTAAACGACATGAGAAAACGCCAATGTGGGTCACAGGGCAAGATGTAGGTAGCCCAACTTGTAAATCTGAGATTTTTCTGAAAACTGAATCTATATACAGTTTCTTTCCACATTGGTTCTACGCGCCAACTTCTTGTTTCGGATATAACGCAGTTTTCTTGCACGTGGAATTATTGCCAGCAAATTCACATATTCAAATCGATAAACGATTTTTTTATAATTATATTTAAAATGCTACATATTAACATTTTTCTGAATACCCCCCTTTCTTCCTAACTAACGATTCTCGCGACGTCCACTCGCGCGTCATGGAATCCCCACATGTATCGTGTGCGACGCTCTTTCAGATGGATCTCAAGTTCTTGAGGAACCAACGCTTCGCGAAGAAACATAACCTGAAACCGAAGGCCCAGCTGAAGAGGGCGGAGCAGCGAAAGCAGGCGAAGAATAAATAAGAATGATAAATAAGTTCGGTGTGCGTGAACCAATGACTGTGTAAAAATAAATTGGAAAAACACACTCGTGGCCGAGAGTTTCATCCCATCTCCAGTTTTTTTTTCTTAATTTTGCGCGCGGCTTATTGGACGAACGTCGATCATTTTCTTTTCAAGTGGAATAAACGTGACAATCGCGGACGGACTCGGTTTTTTGGTCGTTTCTCGCGACTAATTTTATGGGTTTACGACGCTTGCACGGCCCACGTGTACGGTTATTCGTCGATTGACGCGTCAACATGGCCACGGAGCGGGCGCCGGAGGCGCGCGACGTCGCGAAAATCGCGGGCGACTCGATGAAGCCGGAGAGGATCTTCCTGTTCAGCGGCAAGAGGAAGTCTGGAAAGGACTACATCACCGATATCCTGTACGACAGGTGCGGCGGCGAGGTCTTGCCACCTGTTCGCGAGCGAAATAACGCGGAGCGGCATTACTCAGCAGAAAACTGACATAAAATTAACATAGACGATCGAGATCATGGACGTAGTATGAATGGACCCACCATGCGCCCTACGAGAAAGTGAAGTCGGAATAACCGAGTGAAACAGAGAACAATGGGAGCATCTCATTGCTCAAACGTAATGTTCTTCGGCGCGACTTTGGTCCGGTTTCACCAACGTTGCTTAACGTTAAGCTTAGCTCAATTCGTTCTTTGTCTCTTTCCAGCTGTTGCTTCAGAAGGAGACGGACATGAATTAAACTACGATTAAAGTTAAGCCTTCGACACGTGGGCAATTTTGACGGAGATAGACGAGTTTCGTTTTTACAGTTTTAGAAAGAAGAAGTGGGTCTATTTGTACTAACGGTAGGTCCATGATCGAGATGGCACGAACAGCTGACGTTAGAGTCGACAGTTCTGCGCTTGAAAATTTAAAGGGTCGGCTGTTATTTATCTTAAATATGTAGTAAATGCTTTTCCTAAGTAATATGTATTATTAGCATAATTTCTTTTTCTCGAAGCAACGTGTGTTTACCCGATTCGCAGGATTGGCCCGCAAAGGAGCGCAATCGTACGCTTATCGGGGCCTATAAAGACCCACTGGGCGAAATCTCTGGGTCTCGACATCGATCAGTTACTCGGGCACGGGGAGTATAAGGAAAAGTATCGGCAGGAGATGGTCAAGTGGGGCGAGGACGTGAGAAGGAAGGACTACGGCTACTTCTGCCGCGCCGCCGTTGACATGTACGACGGTACGGGCGAGCTAAAGACTGCAATCGTAAACATTTCTCGAGACATCTCTGCGATGAAGAAATTAATTTCTTGAGATCTCGGTTTCTATGCAAGCACAGTCCTATCCAGACAAATTTGCATACTTTTGCAAAGTAACTTTCCTATCCCTGGGATAAGACCCTAATGTACTTTTCAGCGCCGGACAAGCCGGTGTGGATAGTAAGCGATGTCAGGCGGAAAACGGACATCAAATGGTTTACCGAGAACTTCGGGGACGCGTGTAGGACTGTGCATATAGTTTGCTCCGAGCAAGTCAGACGGAAACGCGGCTGGGTCTATACGCCAGGTAATAATTAACTGGGAGTAGCACAAGTGATCATCAACAGACTTAAGGTCTGTTCGCGTTGCACGCCCCAACGACCGATACCGTCACTTTTGACGTCGATTCAACGTTTCTGTTCTCACGGGGTCTTTTTGACGAGAATCTACACGGAGAGAATATTTTTTAACTTATCCTGAAAATCATGTGATCGTGGGACAACATGGCACTTCGAAGAGTTGTATGAGAGTTTTTTTTTAAAATTTACCATACGTTCTACTAGCAATTATACTTGGTATACATTTTACTAGAATGTATGGTAACATTTCGAAAAAACTCGTACAATTCTTCAAAATGCCATGTTGTCCCACGATCACATGATTTTCAGGGTAAATTTTAACAGAAAATTTTCTCCGTGTACACTAAATTTAATTGATTCGAATGACCGCAGGCATAGACGATTCGGAAACGGAGTGCGACCTGGACGACGTCGACAACTGGGACGTCGTGCTGGAGAACAACGGTGACGGCGACGCGGAAGCTCTGCTGCGACAGTTGCTGGGCCACGTTAGCTAATCACAAATCTCCGTGCCCTGTCATACGCACAATAAACGACGTTTCGCAATCTTTCTCTGTTCTTTCCTTGAGAAACAAACGTGTGTCGTGCACCGTCAATTTTCTATTCTAGGGTTCCCTAGTAGCACAATATAATATATTGGCGCAATGTTGGGTTGGCTACGTTCAGCAGAAAAAGCTGCTTTGCAACTATTGTAAAATTCATTAATCTGATTGGCGTATGCTCTTAAATTCATTCAAGATCAAGAGAATACGCCGATCAGTTTCACGAATTTTACAACAGTTGCAAAGCAGCTTTTTCTGCTGAACGCAGCCAATGTAAACCTAGTATTCCCAATATTGTAAGGCAGACGCCTTTTCTTATCTAGTCTATTTAGCGATATCTAATATTGCATCAATGTTGGACCAATATTCTTATTACATTGTTAAACATTGGCCAATGTGCACTTCCAATATAAACCTAATATTATACAACTACTATCGTGCAACATTTACATTTACTCCGTAGCTAATGGCTTTGGACAATATCGGCTAATGCATTTCTAATAATATAACCGACATTGGGGACCAATGTTTAGCCATTGCACTGTGCTACAAAGGTCTCGTAAGAGTAGGATTTTCGCATACGTTTCTCCTTCGAATGCATTCTAGAATCGAGCTCCTGGGAATCAGTGTATCTTAAGTCCGGTTTCACCAACGTTGCTGAACTTTAAGCTTAGCTTAATTCGCTCTTTATCTCTTTCTAACTGTTACTCTAGAAAGAGACAGACATGAATTAAACCAAGATTAAAATTAAGCGGCGCTTGGTGAAACCGGGCCTTCCGTATCTCACACTATAGCGAAAGAGAGCTTTGTCTCTTTCTAACCGTCCTCTTAAGAGACAAAGCCGCTCGCTTTCGACATTTTCACTGTGTTGTAAGATACCGGAATTGACCTTCTGGGACTGGACTTTTGAATTTGTTCGACGAGCGCGACACGCGAACGCACCTCGGGACGGTGCGAGAGTCGGGACGAAAAAAGAAAAGATAATAAAAGAAGGATGCGCGAGGACGCACGTTGTGCCAAAAGGCAATATGGCCTCTTGCGTGCGCGTTGCTGGTGCCGATAGGTTAGTCCCGTGAAACGTGATTTCCCAAGTGACTTGAGCCGCGAGCATCGAGCGAGTGATATCTTGTCGATTTTCCAGGATGACCGTAGATCGAGCGTCCACGTTGCGTTGTCCGCTTTGAGACGATCCAGACCCGGGTGCATCCAACTGTCCACGAACGCGTCACGACGGTCGGCGTCTGGTCGGCGTCGCCGTTAAATCAACCGCTTCGCAGCGCGTCGTCGTGTAATATTTGCACAATTTTGGATCTCTGTTAATTTCGCCGATCCTCATTTTTCACGCCAGGCCTTCGCAAGGTCGGTTGCGACACTTTACTGTATACTCGCTGCCGTTATTCCACGCACAGTTGTCAAGGGTGTCGAGGGACGTCGGTCAACGAGTGCAGACTTGTAGAGTCTACGCTATCGAATGGAACAATGGAGCATAAGATTCCGGCCGATATCCTTAACGATCTTAGCAGGTTGGTTTCCGTCGAACGTTGACGTAAGACGAGACCGAGGGAGGAAACCCTCTGAGGGGATTGTGGTGTACAGATTTGCGGCATTACTGGGCATTTGCTGGGGCACTAGTAGGCATTGGTGTACAAGATCTTGGTCAGCGGTTTCCCCCTCGGACGAGACGACGGAATATAATTGATCTCGTGCGACGGATCTCTTGCATCCTATTGTTACTTTGCAGCCGATTCATCATCAACGTGCCCGAGGAGGAGAGGAAGGACCTGGTGCGCATTTGCTTTCAAATCGAATTGGCCCACTGGTTTTACCTCGACTTTTACTGCACGGAGGAGAATCCCAAGCTGAGGTCGTGCGGCATGAAGGAGTTCGCCACTCATATATTCCAGCATATACCATTCCTGAGGCCGAACCTGCAGAACATTGACAACGTGCTGGAACAGTGGAGGGAATACAAACAGAATGTGCCGACGTTCGGGGCGATTGTGCTGAATGAGGACATGACCAAGGTGCTGCTTGTGCAGAGCTACTGGGCGAAGAATAGCTGGGGCTTTCCTAAGGGGAAGGTCAACGAGGACGAGGAGCCGTTCCATTGTGCCATTCGGGAGGTGCTGGAGGAGACCGGGTTCGACATATCCAGCTTGATTGATAAGAACGAGTACATCGAGTCGCCGATAAACGACCAGACGGTGAGGCTGTACATAATTTCGGGCGTGCAAATGGACACCAAGTTCCAACCGAAGACGCGGAAGGAGATAAAGAACGTCGAGTGGTTCTCCGTGGCGGATCTGCCCAACTCGAAGAAGGACATGACCCCCAAGATGAAAATTGGCGTCGGGCCGAACGCATTTTTCATGGTGGTACCGTTCGTCAAGTAATTATTCGACACTTTCTACAAAAATCCATATATTTAATGTAAAATCGTGTTACACATTGTGCCGACGTCGTTCTTTGTGTTTTCTTTTTTTTCTGTCCAGGCGGATGAAGCGGTGGATTCAAGAGAAACAGCAACGTGAGAAAAACGCCATTGCGGCGGTACGAAGGCAGAGGCATAAATCGTTGGGCGACGTCGAGACGGTCTCGAAGAACAAACGGCAACAGCAGTCGCTTTTCCACCATTTCTCGACCTGCCCGCCACAGGTGGACGCCGCGTCTCATGTTTGTCTTATTCTGTTTACGTTTACAATCTAAACTTTCACGTTACATTGTCACTGCGCCCCGTCTACAGAGCGAGGTTCCCGATTTCAAGATTGGCCGTCAGTCCAACACTTCCCCGGCGCGCAGTCGCCGCGGCGCGAACGACGCTAAGAAAGACTTGTCGAAGACGGCACCCAAACGAAATCTATTCGGAGATCAGGAGGAGGATCGATCACTCGCGGTTAAACACTTGGCAGACAGCCCTGCTCAGCCCTGCTCATTTCTAATCGATCCTGCCATTCAGTCGATCAAATATAACGATTTTACTTACAAAGCGCAACCATTGGAAAAAGTGAGAGGTACGCTCTACGTTTACTTACGATCTAAATCTTACTTCTACCTGACTCGAGATCCCGCTTGTCACAAATAATATATTTAGCGAGATATTTAAATTATATGAATAACGTTTATTTTTTAATATATATATATATAAATATATTATATGTTTCAATGATAATCCGATATCATTGACACTATATCGGGATTGATCTCTCTCTCTCTCTCTCTCTTTGTTAGATTGTCGCAAGAAAAGTCTGCCGGAGGGAAACATCAAGTCGCTGCTATTCGGAGAAGCCGCGCGCAAGTTGCAAAAAGATTTTAAAACCATTCCACCGCCCCCCTTCGTAGGTCTGGACAGTCCATCGCTTTCAATGAAGAATTACACGGGCAAACGGAATAATCCTACCTTCGAGTTTCGCTCGAAGGTCTGGAATAATTTCAATTTCGATATCCAGGCGATACTAAAAGTTCTCAAGTAGTTTTACGTACGACAGCTCGGAAGAATGGATTACCAAAATAGGGAAAGTAGTAGATATCGATTTAGAATCGAGTTAAACTCATCTATTGTATTAGTCTATTTCTTATCTTTGCTGGTCATGAACAAGTTATGCGCGTTCAAAACGTGCGACTATGTATATATTTGTACATATCACCTAATATTGGTAAGCTAAACCGATATTAGATATCGTTAAATTTAAGTTTGAATTAAGCTTTAGTTTTTATGTTCTCGATGTAAATGCATCTTTATTGTTGCAGTATCTGTTACAGTTCTATGATGATGATATAAGCTCGACGCAAATTCGTGCACTTCGAATTTGTTATGGAGAAACTGATAATAGAGGAAGATCTATCGGAGAGAGAAATATTAAGTCGCTCTTTTTCGTGGAAGCTATAGGCAAGTTGCAAGCAAGACTTTAAAAGCACTCTGAAAATCCCTTGCTCGATTTCAAACGCAATTAGATGTCGCTCTTACCAAATCTTGGTAATCCAATATTTTTCGACATGGTGACAAACTGTATGAAACAGAATATTCTTGTACAAATAATAGTAATAATCCATATTTCTAGCTATAGAAAGGCGAGATTACAGCGTACAAGTAACACGATATTATACATTTCGATTTTGATATCAGCACTTTTCGGCCGAACGAAAGTCTATTTATTGTATATCTCTTCTTTTTTTCCCCTTTTTGTCTTTTTTAGTAAATTGACGTTAAACTAGCGTTAATTAGATTAACGTTTATTAACGTATAATGTATTTGTAGAGGATATTGAGGACGATTATCAGGACAAAGAGAGCCAGTAAAAGTGGGCCGATAAAATAGAATATCTTTTCGAAAACACGACTGCCCGTCCGCACACTTTTGATAATTTCGGTATTCAATTCAAAGACTATTTTACTTTCTTCGATAAGTTTATTTTTCGTGTCCTCGTCCAACGTCTCCGCGATTCTGTTCATCGACTCGCGCAAGTCGCGCTTCAACTGAAATATACTGCTCTGCCCAAAGTCCGTGACGTTGTTACCGTCGCTCGACGGCCGCGCTTGAAACGGCGAGATCTTTTGCAGCATCTGCCGCTTCTTGCGTAGAATGATACCGCCGCTGAGGAGGCCCATGTAAAGGTGGTAGATGTACGCCATCAGCAGAGTGGGATCCGTGTCTTCCACTTCTCTCAGGCGCATCAGATACTTTGCGACGCTGTCCCTGAAGTTTTTATATACCATTTCAGATTTTCCCCTTTGGTAACAATTACCAACGCCACTACTGTCAAAGACTGATATCTGTACTGCTCATTGTATGCGGAGGAGGGTAACATAAAGCAATCTTATTTTCACAGCACGTGTACCTAGGACTGTAGTTTTTCCTCCATCCTTTTCCCAGGTAGTGATCGAGATCGCGCTCGAAAGCCTCTGTGCGCTGGAGCTCGCCGAGGGGGAGCAATCCGATCTTTGTGTTCCTCAGTCTCACCATCGCGCCCTCCAGGTAGCGAAAGACCTCGTAGAAAACCAGAAGCCCGTCGGCCCACACGGAGTCGTCGAGAAACCCTGGTCGTAGCGTGCAAGATAGTACAATGCAAATTACAGTCGTTGCATTGGCAGCGATCATTCGACTGAGTTCAACTGAACATGAATTAAACCGAGATCATAGTTGAGCGACGTTTGGCGAAACCGGGCCTTGGACATGTGTGGAGCGCTTAGTGTCGAGTCACGGGATCTACGTGTTACCAATACGTTTGCCAAGTGATAGGAGACTTGTGAAATCGGCAAACAATGCCCAGCGAGAAATGACTCGTCAATCGACGTCGAAATTGAGTGTCCATGTCGACGTCGACCCGACATCGTTCCGAGTCGTTTCTCACCGGGTGAAAGCCTGAATCACTGTATAGAAAAAGTGTGACGGAACAAAGAGACGTTTGTCACGCCACTGTCGCCTCGCGGAAAAATCTTTGTCTTCGCCCAAGTGCGCAGTTTGCGCCGAGAGATCCAAACGAGACCCTCCCCCCCCCCCCCCCCGGCTCCGCGATATCACGGCGTATCCCCCGCGGTGTCGGGCGACCCTTACCGAACGCCAGTTTCGCGTTCACCAGGGCGTCGCTGATCGCGTGTATCCCCCGGGTGGCTTTTGCCATTTTCTTGCAAAAGTTCTCCTCCTCCTTATCCGGCATCTCGGCGGGGAGGCGCGCGTCAACGGGGCCGTCGGGAGGTGTTTCGCGATTCAAACGTCGCGGCGTCGTGGGGACGTGCTCTCGGGTGCCAAGCCGCGGGCCTCACGCAGTCATCACCGCCGGGTGCACGCCGGGTTCCCGCGCACTACCGCGGGCTGTCACGTGAAAATTACCGTCGCGAAAACACACTGCGCCCGCGACGTCGACGGCCATCCCCGGCCGCCCCTGCGCACTGACGCGGTCACGTGCCGCGCGCCTCCGCCGTCGCCGCGAGATGTCGAGTTCGTCCCCTTTTCGAGACGCGAGAACCTCGAGAGGCTTCCCCCCCGTCCGAGTCGCCCGGGAGAACGAATTTTTTATAGCTTACTATTTCGGCTGTAATATTTGACAGCGCGTTACTTCGTGAGAAACGCGCGAGGTAAGTGTCGCCGGGAGTATCGAGGTTTCTACAATTTCGCAGATGCCGGCGCGAATTAGCGAGTTCCTTATTTGTATTTCAAGGTGAAGTGGGGAAGAAAAATATGGCTCGCGTATCCTCTCCATATCGCATCTCAAGTACAATTGAACGGATTATTTAACGGCGGAAAAGTAACTCGCGCGTTTCGCAGCGTGTGATCTTAAACAATGTCCGTCGAATTAAGACAATAATTACATAACACGTGAATTGACATAAGAGAAGAATAACCACCTTTCCAATTCAACCCTTGCTATACTCTGCTCTGTAGATCAGCTACTAATTTTGTGCAAAATTCTTTCCCCTGTAATTTTAGTACTTTTTCTATCGAGAGACCAACTGGATCTCAAAGTTATCGATCGCCGATCAATCGTTGCCGATACACGCGTTAAAA